TCTCTCTCTCTCTCTTTCTCTCTCGCGCGCGCGTTGGACACGCTCGATAAGTGTGCGACGCTTTTGTGCTATATCGCAACTCATTAGAGTTTGTCTTCTGTCCGCGGAAATTCCACCGATTGTTTCGTCCCGCGTGCTTTTCCACGTGCACGCTGCGATGTAACTTGTAAACGCAAAACTGTCCGCCATATTGTCGTGCTCCCAATTTCTCGAATTTGCACGCGAATTTTTATTATGGTCTCAAGGAGACTCGATTAGCCGAGTATTGTGGCATTTTGATTTAAGAAGACTGTTGTGTTAACTCTCGGAAGAAGAAACTGTAAACTGCAACAAAAAAATAAAATTAATTTATAGATATACATAGGTATCAAAATGCAATTTCCTCTTCTTTCTTGTGCGAGGATTGGACTTTGAAAAAAAGAAAAAAAAGAAAAAGATCGACAAGTCTGTCTGTCTGAAGGATCTCTCAATCCAGCTTCGTTCTAAAGAGCTGTTCGATAGGAGTAAAAACAAAAAAAAAGAAAAAAGAAAAGAAAGAAAAAGGTACGCGAGAAATTAGGGATATACAAGCGATTCGGTGTGGCTGCGCGATAAATTCCATCGTTTCAGTGAAACTGGCTAGAATAAGGCGGACAAAGTGATCGAGTCCGTCTGCAGCAGGAAAATCCCATTCTCCGGGAAACTATGTTAAAAGGCAGAAACGAGTGTAGAGAAAAGAAAGTCTGGGATGAAGGTCCCGGAGAACTCGACGAGGGTGGAGAACTCGCTGCGGGGAGAAGGGTGTATTCAGCGTAATGGGCTAACTCCGATGGATGGCAAGGATTGTGGATGGTGTACCGGCTGCCGAATGGAACCTTGAAAGCCGGTTTGAATAATTGAACGCCAGTCAAATTTACGTAACGAAATAGCCGGGAGACGGAAAGTCGCGGAAATCACCGATTTACCTTTCGACCAGAGTCTTGTTATCTAACAGCAGGATAAAAAAGATAAGGCTCGCGAGAGGCTTTGCTTTATTCTCTAACCTTTCACCTTTTATCCTTTACTTTTCAACTGGTTCATTATTTTAATTATAGGATGAATTGACGAAAGAATTTTCTGTGGTAATAGATCCAGTAATATTATCTTGAACGTGTAGTTCAAATAGTTTCAAGGGATGCGTGTAGTAAATAGAAAAGTATATTATCGTTAAGCTCTTTATAGATAGATAGTTTAAATGTGTAATCTGTTAGTTTTATAGAAAGATAGTAAATGTTGCTTCTAATCATCGATTCATTTTTAATTTGTACACGTTCATATACTGTTGTTGTAATTCAATTACACACGAACGTTAAGAATATTAAAGGCTATGGTTACGCAAATATTAGGCGACAATTACTTCTTTTCCTGGCTATCGATCGTCAAACAAATTTCGTCGAAGGAATCACCTTTACAGTTAATTTATTCGCAAGAGTCTCTTATTCGTGGAATTCAAAGAATCCACCGGCGTTTCGAAATGAGTACTCATATCCCTGCGGCTCATAAACGGCCATTGGCCGTGGTATTTACTGGATTTGAAGGTATTATTTGCACGGATCGGGCGAGGATAGCCAAAGCCGCGGTAGAAAAAGAG